GTATATATATATATATACACACACACACACTTTCATTCTGCATAAAATAGCCAACACGATGCTATACGTGTTTTCAAAATGAGAACCCATTAACATCATTTCCAAGACATTCATATCTGGGCTGCAAAAATCTATATGAACAGTAAATGGCAAAGTTTTCAAAAAAAAATTCTTGCTGCTTGTGGTGATCTTTAAATTTCAAGCCCAGATATATTTCCAAATCCTCTAGTTAAAAAGAGAAAACAAACAAAATTCTTCTAGGTGGATTTTTTTCTTCAAAGATTTTTTTCTTTGCTCTTACCTTTTCATGAGTTTTGGAGAGCATTCCCTCTCTAGGTTGGAACATGAATGCTTCACATGCATGGTGTTGTACGATGTGTGAGTGTATTCATTCTCATCGCTGTAATCCGGTCCAAGTAACGTCCGAGCCCATGTGCCCATGTCATAGGGAGGAAGAGTTCCTCCAAACTCTGAAGGTAAGCAATCAGGGTGTATGAGCTGGTGAAGACTATTAAGATTGTTTCCGTGAAGAAAGATCTTTTAAAAAACAAAGCAGATTTTAGATGTTGTTAGTGTGTTTATGCCATTCCAATAATCAAGATGTTTAAAAAAAAAATAAGAAAAAAGTAAATTAATAGCAAAAGAGCAGTGGTATTGTCCTTTGTGTAAAATCTGCCTTTGAATAATGTTCAGAAAGCTGTACAGATAGTCCTCGACTTACAACTGTTTGTTTAGTGACCATTTGAAGCTAGAATGGCACTGAAAAAATGACTTCTGATCATTTTTCACAGTTATGACCATAGCAGCATCCCCATGGCTGCACGATTTACATTCAGATGCTTGACAATTGACCAACATTTATGATAGCTGCAGTGTCCAGAGTCATGTAATCCTCTTCTGCGACCTTCTGACAAACAAAATGAACGAGGAAATCAGATTCATTTAACAACCATATTATTAATTGAACAACTGCAGTGATTCCCTTAACAAATATGGCAAAAAAAGATGTAAAATGAGGAAAAATTCACTTAACAAATTTCTCACTTAACAACATAAATTTTGGGCTCAATTGTGGTCATACGTTGAGGACGACCTGTACGACTGTTTTGCAAAAAAAAAAAAAATAGAGATTGACCTGTTGGAATTCAACGAGCTTTTGTTGTTTTCATTCCGTTCTGATTTGTTTGCAGGCAAATAATTTTGATCTCAAAATATAAATGCCTATTTGGACATTCACAAATTAATCAAACCTTGTGAACTTAGATGATGAATGATAACAGATTGTAGTCATTATGCCTATGTTGTTGACTATCAACTCCAGATAGTCAATTTTTCCTAAAACTTCTCAAGTATTTCAGCCTTTTCCAGATGTATTAGACTTCAGCTCCAACAAACAAGTCACATACCAGGAAACTGAGACCTAATTAATTGCATTCCTACTCTGCCACCTACTTGTTTTAGTATTCTTTTCATTTTTGTTCTCATTTCATTTTAGTATTCTTTTCATTTTAGTATTCTTTTCATTTTTGTTAAAAATATATTTTTAACTTAAGCATAGTGTTCATTTTATTGTACTACTATATTATTAGAATGTGATAATCTCATACATCGTTATATATTTTTAAGAAATCTTTCATCCTTAAAGCAAGGATTGGATAACATCAACCTGATAAAATAATTCTGTGTTTGGTTATTGAATAAACAATAGGTAATGAAAATATAAACTGTACAAACATGGATGAGAAAATAAAGTGTTAAAGAATAATGATATTGAAGTTTCCATTCCATTCTGACTTTGATCTTTGAAGTTGTCCACCTTGATTGCAGTACACTAAAGCAGTGATCCCCAACCTTTTTTATGCCGCGGCCCGGTACCGGCATCAGCTGGGCGCCGCGGCCCGGTACCGGCATCAGCTGGGCGCCGCCATCTTTTTTTGATGAAAACGTGCTTCCGGTGAGCTTTCTACCCGGAAAAGCTCACCGGAAGCACTGGCGCCGCCATCTTTTTTTGATGAAAATGTGCTTCCGGTCAGCTTTCTACCCGGAAAAGCTCACCGGAAGCACTTTTTCATCAAAAAAAGATGGCGGCGCCAGCAAGCCAGCGGCCCGGTAGGACTTGTTCCGCGGACCGGTACCGGTCCGCGGACCGGTGGTTGGGGACCCCTGCACTAAAGAACATTGATAGAGAGCTGAGAAACCTTTGCTATAGACAGAGAAAACTCTGGGCATGAGCGAGCAGCAGCATCTGAACCCAAGATTCTTCAGGTAAGATTCCTAAAGAACCCTAACCCTAAGTATGTCCAAACCTCTGAGCCACTATGTATTCCTGCAACAGAAGGAATACAGGAAACCAAGATTATCTACAAATGGAAATATACACATGGTAATATCATGATGTAATATTTCACCCTTATATATCCTGCATTCTGATGTGTGTTACAAGTTAATGGTGTTTGAGTCATAATGTCACAATGCATCTTTGTCATTTGCTCCCGTACATCACCATGCCCTGTAACCAGACACTGCAAAACATAATGCCGTACTTAGCAAGAAATTAGAACTCTCCTCCTTTATTGCTCTCATAATAGGGTTAAAACAAAATCATCACGTTGAATTGACCTGCAATTTCTCACATCCAATATAACTTAATGGATGTCTTTGTAAGATTTTATATATAAAATTTACAGAAAGGTCTTCTTATTGAAAGATTCTTGCCTCACAATGGACTCTACATTAAAAAAAAATAATCCCAATAGTATAATCTTTTCCATGACTAGGCTGGTATAAGTATCATTAAATTCAAAAGATTTTATTTCTATGGAAGTAAGCAGCTTGCTAGTCCTTGTTCACAATGCCCCTCAATTTATTATAATTTTTAAAAAAAGATTTGATGAAGCAAATTGAGCCACATTATAATCAAATAGCCTCTGCAGCTACAATACTATCCATTAGAAGAATTGCATTTACAAGTAACTGTTCTAAATCATACCTATGAATGAATTATATATTAATACATAGGTAAAAACATCTCCATTATGTTTTTTTCCTGCTAGGATAAAATAATGTGACCCAAAGTACAGAAAAATAATAATAAAAAAAATAGTCTCAAAAAAGAAATAGGCCAATTTTTAAACAAAGGGAAATCTAAAGAAATCTAATATTTAAGTATAATTTCCTGTAGCTCAGGATACATTCCTGACCTTTCAAACAATTCTTCCTTGCTTTTATCAAGTCGATGTACTGCTTCATACATAGTCTTATTTTTCTTTGAACATCTTATCTTTCTCTTTTCAAATATATTCTCAATTCGACCCAACCACATTTTTTTCTGGTGATGCCTCCTTCTTATTTCATGTCTTGAATAGCTTTTATAACTTTACTACCTTTTGCCTACTATTTCTTACTTTTTATTTAGCATAATTTTGCATTTCCCAGCAAAAGAAAAGTTGATGGATATGTATGAATGCATGCTTCATAAAAATCAATATCCCAAGTTTTTTTCTTTTATAATAATTTAACTGAATTTTAACTGTTATCAGTTATTTTGCTCTCAACTGGTTGCACAAAAGACAATGTGCTAAACAGCAAAATCAGAGATTTCTCCCAAGGTTAAAATGTTTGGGGGGGAAAGGATCAGTCCTTTGATAAAATAGACTTGAAATGTTATCTATCAATGTTTTTAGCAACCTATTGTGACCTGGCTTTCTTCTAGATCTATTGCAAGTGGGGAACAGTGTGAATAATACATGACATTAAAAGGGAATTGGGTTGAAAAATAGATAATTTTATGTTTTACAGAAAGTTGCTTTTTCCATGTGTATATGATGAAAGATTTTCTGTCACTTGGCTTGGAATCTGGAAATAATTCTCTCCTGCTGAAATAGTGTTTAAATGTACAGTAGGCTGCTGACAAAATCTAGCTGAGACTTCATCCCTTGTTGCAAACCACAAAGAGAAAAAGGAAGAGGCAGAGAAGAGTAGAAATTCTCTAATATCACACATAGGCTTCCACCATCATAGGCTTGTTTCATTTTCTCATTACCCTTTTCCGTGTCTTGTCTTTGAGGAAGGGTTTGATTAGCGTGTAGAGAGCATGGATGTACCATGGCTGGTTCACAAAATGGATGCCTCCAAAGCGAGCAGGAAAGCTGTCCTGTGGAAACGAAAGAAACAGATTCTAATTAACAGAGACTGACAGAGATAAATAGCAGGCCTGATGTCAGGAGTTAGAGAAAAAGGAGAAGTCAAAGGAGAAGTCTTGGCTATTAATTGGTGCATTTGAGAGACAATTCAATCATGCAACCATGCTACATTGTGTTTTAATGCTCAGTTTGCTCTTTTATACAACAGAACAAATTTGAAAAAATCCACAGCTGGGGCTTACCCTCATCCTAGTTCTATTTCCATGAGAGTTTGTATATGTGCATATCTATTAAACATGAATATGATGTGGTTTGTATTTCCCAACAGGTTCACAGAACCAAGTCCCTTTAGACATCTACAGGCATGGTTTATCTCCTCACCCTGTGCCTTTGCCCTTCCTCAGCCCTTTCTCAAGGCATTGTTTCAATAGTTAAACTTTCTGGGTGAATGAATTGGGCATAAGGGACAGAGGAAGATGTTAAGTGAAGCTGTCAAGAGGGAGGAACAGCATACAGCGCCATGGCAACAGACACAAATGCCTGCTTTGGGGGTTCTGAACAGATACCCAACAAATTAGTATGCAGGTAGAGTCAAGCTTTTCAGAGTCAACAACAGTGGGATTCTTTTTCAGGTAAGCAGAATGCAGCATCTGAAATTATATTTCTCATAGATCCTGTTAAATCAGTACATTAGATTCATAGGAAAACAGGGACTAAAGTAACAGTGAATGTTTTAGGTCATATATATATATATGTTTTAGGTCACATATATTCAGAAGAAATTTTCCCTTCATCTTCAGTGCATTTGGAATATATATATATGGTATTCAGCTTTGTTCGGGTATTTTCCCACGTCATTATAGTTGTGCTTTTAAAGTTGTAGCAACGTTTCGGCAGAATCTCATCTGCCATCATCAGGCTTCTGTATTGTGTTCGTCTGTGAGTCAGACTTTTACAGTTGTTTCAGTTTTAAATTTGGGGCTAGCCTACTGCTGTGCCAGAATGGTTTTTTCTTCATCCTGATTGGTTGGGAGTCTTGGTCTGTGTTTATTGGTCTTGGAGTTTGCTGTGTTCTGCTTGATTGGTGTTTCTAATATCTTCTGTCTGTTTTGTGGCTCTTTTTGTATCTTGATTGGCTGGCAACATGGTGTTCCTGTATTGGAGGCCTTTAGTGCAGCTTGGCTCTGGGTAAATGGACGGCTATCATTTGTTAGGAAGCTAGGTTTCATCTGGGTGCCTGGTTGGGGTGTGTTTGAGCTGGAGGTATCAGGGGGGATCTGTTTGTGCCCAGGTGTTTGCCTGGCTTGTCATGTGGATATTTTTTTGTTTCTGAGTGCAGGCTTCCAAATAATTGACAGTCTGCACTCTCAAACAAAAAAATTATATATATATATGTGTGTGTGTGTGTGTGTGTGTGTGTATGTGTATGTGTGTGTGTGTGTGTGTGTGTGTGTGTGTGTGTGTATGTATATATATATATTCTATATAGACTATACAAAAGAGATATTCAACCAGCGCAAAAGGGAACAAAAATACCCAAGCATCTCCTACCACCATTCAGTACACAGATGAGCAGTGATTAACTTCAAGATTAACATCAAACCAACAATCAAGTAAACAATACCACAATCAAGGAACTGCCAAAGAAGCCAACAATAAATAGCCCAATCAAAGAACCTCTAAACCATCCCCACCAACACTGACAGGGCAAGCCAGTAGAATATAAACTGAGAGCAAACCCCATTCCTAAGTAGCACTGATGGGTAATGAAACATGTACCAGAAAATAACCAAGCTCAGAGACCATGAAGGATACTTCATTTCAATCCTGAGCTACAAATATTCTTTTCTATCAGATCTACTGCACCCTGGAGCAAATGCAGGTATCCTCTAGGTTCTTGGTGAAGTGTATTGCATGTCTCTGTGGCTTTTCTGGTTTTCTGTTAAAGAGACCCTAATGGAATGCCTGTTGCTAGGTTATGCCTCTGCAAAAAATTCCTGTTATAAACCTTTTCATTCTGAATGCCAGTCTAGATAGAAATGGAACCACAGAACTTAATAGCATATGATTAATCCTGTTAAACGATTTCCTACACACCTTTCACTGTAGGAAATAAAGCAAAGGAAAAATAAAACAGGAAGTCTTTCTTCCTAATACTTTTGTGACATTAGTTTATCACCCCTTGTTCATGAATATCACTAGAATATTAGCTGCAAACCTTTACTTCCTGCTGGTAAATGAAGCACTTTCTTGATCTGCCCACATGCTCCCATTTAGAAAATTTATATTCAGTTTCATTCTTTTTTGAATGAAAGTCAGCATTATAAATCAATCAAATATGCCAAGAAATTAGGAAACAAGAAAACAAATAGCAAGTCTGTGAATTTGGCAAAAGCTTGCAAGCAACACAGATGGAGGAACAAAAAAAAAACCTGGAAAAGGAAGGAAGGAAGGAGGGAAGGAAAGGAAAGGAAAGGAAAGGAGGGAGGGAGGGAGGAAGGAGGGAAGGAAGGAAGGAAGGAAGGAAGGAAAGAAGGAAGGAAGGAAGGAAGGAAGGAAGGAAGGAAGGAAGGAAGGAAGGAAGGAAGGAAGGAAGGAAGG